CTCACCCTGTCCATGGAGGACAGAAGAAAATGTATATATGCTGGTTAGCATTGTAAATGTCTGGCCACGTCTGTGGTAGAAAAATAATAATAAAAGAGTCAAGAAGAATTGTAATTGGAACAGAAAGTATTACATGGGATATATAAATATACTAAACAAATATTTACTTGTGAAATAAACAAAAATTAAAAAAGCTTGTCCATTATTGGATCTATAATCACAAGTGAAGGTTCATACACAATAGGATGATAAAGAAATTAGTGAAATCCTAAAAAACAATAAGTATGAGGCTATGTTTAGCACCCCAGTGACCTACATGAAGGGTGAAGATCTAGACAGCTTCTTTATGAACGATATCCAAAACTCTGACACTATAACTGATATAAACATGAACACAACAAACTTTAAAAGATAAATGGACAACATGCCCATGCACTCAGTCCCAGGTGAGGTTATCTTCAGATAATTTCGGGGCTTAGCGTCCCCGGCGGCCCGGTCCTCGACCAGGCCTCCTTTTTGTTACACACCCCCCAGGAAGCAGCCCGTAGTAGCTGTCTAACTCCCAGGTACCTATTTACTGCTAGGTAACAGGGGCATCAGGGTGAAAAAAAACTTTTTGCCCATTTGTCTCCGCCTCCACCGAGGATCGAACCCGGAACCTCAGGACTACGAATCCAATGCGAAGTCCACTCAGCTTTCAGGCCTTCAGGTAAATAAATGAAAAGTACCATGAGCTCTCAGTGTGATATGGAGAGAAAGAAAAGCTAGGATACAGGTGAGATACTAGAAGTACCCAATTCAGCAGATAGCTCCATTGTACAAGAGATGTAGTAAAGCTTTGGCTAAAAACATTGTACCAGTCGCATTAACATCAGATAACATTAAAGTTTCTGAAAGAGTGATTAGGAATAAAATGTCCAATTTTATGGAGAATAATGAATTTCACACCCCAAGTCAACATGGATTTAGAGCGGGAAAATCCCATCGGTCGCAATTACTCAACCACTATGATAAAATACAGGGTACAACCAGAGCTCCTCATTGAAGGAAAACAACACGTAGAAGATATGGGAATTATGATATCTGGCGACCTGACATTTAGTGAACATAACCGAGCAAATATAGCGGCGGCGGCGGCCAGGAGGATGGATTACGAGAACCTGCACATCCAGGAACTCCACAACAATGTTAATACTATTTAAATCCCGCTTTGAGTACTGTTCGGTACTCACTTTCCCTTCCACAGTAGGAGAGATTTCTTAAAAGAGGGAATACAGAGAACGTAACCCATTGATACGATAAAGCATCAACATTATTGGGACCGTCTCCAAGCTCTCAAAATGAACTAACTCTCAGGAAAGGAGACGAAAGAGAGTTAAAAATAAAAGATACTATAAAACCAGGTACCAAATTTTCACAGCGGAATAACAACATACTGACTAGCACCAGTGACGAGTAGAGGTGCCATAGGCACAATCAGAGAACACTGAACATCAGAGGTCTGAACACAGCTGTTCCACACCCTCCCAGCAAGCATTAGAAATATTGCTGGAATATAAAATGAAATTTTTCCAGAAACAACTAGACAGTTCATGCTGGAAGTGCCGGACCAACCAGGTTGTAGAGGATCTGTGGGCCTCCGGGCCGGCCGCTCCAAGCAACACCTCCAACCAGTCCACTACGGGCTCACCATAGCCCGTGCTACTAGGAACTTTTTGTTCCAGGTGGCGAATCTTTAACAAGAACAACAACCTCCAGCCACAGGTAGAAGTTCTACTCTTCTTGGGGAGTAGAACAACACCCAGAGCCTACACTAAGTGTACTCCAGCTTGTTGGGCACGGAAGTCAGGTATTGCGGGTGTGGGTGTAGAGGGTGGGCGGGTGTTGCAGGTGTGGGTGTAGAGGGTGGGCGGGTGTTGCAGGTGTGGGTGTAGAGGATGGGCGGGTGTTGCAGGTGTGGGTGTAGACGGTGGGCGGGTGTTGCAGGTGTGGGTGTAGAGGGTGGGCGGGTGTTGCAGGTGTGGGTGTAGAGGGTGGGCGGGTGTTGCAGGTGTGGGTGTAGAGGGTGGGCGGGTGTTGCAGGTGTGGGTGTAGAGGGTGGGCGGGTGTTGCAGGTGTGGGTGTAGAGGGTGGGCGGGTGTTGCAGGTGTGGGTGTAGACGGTGGGCGGGTGTTGCAGGTGCGGGTGTAGAGGATGGGCGGGTGTTGCAGGTGTGGGTGTAGACGGTGGGCGGGTGTTGCAGGTGTGGGTGTAGAGGATGGGCGGGTGTTGCAGGTGTGGGTGAAGACGGTGGGCGGGTGTTGCAGGTGTGGGTGAAGACGGTGGGCGGGTGTTGCGGGTGTGGGTGTAGAGGGTGGGCGGGTGTTGCAGGTGTGGGTGTAGAGGGTGGGCGGGTGTTGCAGGTGTGGGTGTAGAGGGTGGGCGGGTGTTGCAGGTGTGGGTGTAGAGGGTGGGCGGGTGTTGCAGGTGTGGGTGTAGAGGGTGGGCGGGTGTTGCAGGTGTGGGTGTAGACGGTGGGCGGGTGTTGCAGGTGCGGGTGTAGAGGATGGGCGGGTGTTGCAGGTGTGGGTGTAGACGGTGGGCGGGTGTTGCAGGTGTGGGTGTAGAGGATGGGCGGGTGTTGCAGGTGTGGGTGAAGACGGTGGGCGGGTGTTGCAGGTGTGGGTGAAGACGGTGGGCGGGTGTTGCGGGTGTGGGTGTAGAGGGTGGGCGGGTGTTGCAGGTGTGGGTGTAGAGGGTGGGCGGGTGTTGCAGGTGTGGGTGTAGACGGTGGGCGGGTGTTGCAGGTGCGGGTGTAGAGGATGGGCGGGTGTTGCAGGTGTGGGTGTAGACGGTGGGCGGGTGTTGCAGGTGTGGGTGTAGAGGATGGGCGGGTGTTGCAGGTGTGGGTGAAGACGGTGGGCGGGTGTTGCAGGTGTGGGTGAAGACGGAGGGCGGGTGTTGCGGGTGTAGGTGTAGAGGGTGGGCGGGTGTTGCAGGTGTGGGTGTAGAGGGTGGGCGGGTGTTGCAGGTGTGGGTGTAGAGGGTGGGCGGGTGTTGAAGGTGTGGGTGTAGAGGGTGGGCGGGTGTTGCAGGTGTGGGTGTAGAGGGTGGGCGGGTGTTGCAGGTGTGGGTGTAGAGGGTGGGCGGGTGTTGCAGGTGTGGGTGTAGAGGGTGGGCGGGTGTTGCAGGTGTGGGTGTAGACGGTGGGCGGGTGTTGCAGGTGTGGGTGTAGAGGATGGGCGGGTGTTGCAGGTGTGGGTGAAGACGGTGGGCGGGTGTTGCAGGTGTGGGTGAAGACGGTGGGCGGGTGTTGCGGGTGTGGGTGTAGAGGGTGGGCGGGTGTAGGTGTAGAGGGTGGGCGGGTGTTGCGGGTGTGGGTGTAGAGGGTGGGCGGGTGTTGCAGGTGTGGGTGAAGACGGTGGGCGGGTGTTGCAGGTGTGGGTGAAAACGGTGGGCGGGTCTTGCAGGTGTGGATGAAGACGGTGGGCGGGTGTTGCAGGTGTGGATGAAGACGGTGGGCGGGTGTTGCAGGTGTGGGTGAAGACGGTGGGTGGGTGTGGGTGAAAACGGTGGGCGGGTGTTGCAGGTGTGGATGAAGACGGTGGGCGGGTGTTGCAGGTGTGGGTGAAAACGGTGGGCGGGTGTTGCAGGTGTGGATGAAGACGGTGGGCGGGTGTTGCAGGTGTGGGTGTAGACGGTGGGCGGGTGTTGCAGGTGTGGGTGTAGACGGTGGGCGGGTGTTGCAGGTGTGGGTGTAGACGGTGGGCGGGTGTTGCAGGTGTGGGTGTAGACGGTGGGCGGGTGTTGCAGGTGTGGGTGAAAACGGTGGGCGGGTGTTGCAGGTGTGGATGAAGACGGTGGGCGGGTGTTGCAGGTGTGGATGAAGACGGTGGGCGGGTGTTGCAGGTGTGGATGAAGACGGTGGGCGGGTGTTGCAGGTGTGGATGAAGACGGTGGGCGGGTGTTGCAAGTGTGGATGAAGACGGTGGGCGGGTGTTGCAGGTGTGGATGAAGACGGCGGGCGGGTGTGGGTGTAGACGGTGGGCGGGTGTTGCAGGTGTGGGTGAAGACGGTGGGCGGGTGTTGCAAGTGTGGGTGAAGACGGTGGGCGGGTGTTGCAGGTGCGGGTGAAGACGGTGGGCGGGTGTTGCAGGTGTGGGTGTAGACGGTGGGCGGGTGTTGCAGGTGTGGGTGTAGACGGTGGGCGGGTGTTGCAGGTGTGGGTGTAGACGGTGGGCGGGTGTTGCAGGTGTGGGTGAAGACGGTGGGCGGGTGTGGGTGTAGAGGATGGGCGGGTGTTGCAGGTGTGGGTGTAGACGATGGGCGGGTGTGGGTGAAGACGGTGGGCGGGTGTGGGTGTAGAGGATGGGCGGGTGTTGCAGGTGTGTGTGGGATGTAGACGATGGGCGGGTGTGGGTGAAGACGGTGGGCGGGTGTTGCAGGTGTGGGTGAAGACGGTGGGCGGGTGGTGCAGGTGTGGGTGTAGACGGTGGGCGGGTGTTGCAGGTGTGGGTGAAGACGGTGGGCGGGTGTGGGTGTAGAGGATGGGCGGGTGTTGCAGGTGTTGGCGGAGAGTGTGACGGGTGGGCAGGTGTGGGTGAAGACGGTGGGCGGGTGTGGGTGTGGGGATGTAGACGGTGTTGACGGGTAGACGATGGGCAGGTGTGGGTGAAGACGGTGGGCGGGTGTTGGGTGTGGAGAAGATGGTGGGCGGGTGTTGCAGGTGTGGGCGGAGAGTGTGGGTGGGTGTTGTGGGTGTAGACGGTGGACGGGTGTTGCAGGTGTGGGTGAAGACGGTGGGCGGGTGTTGCAGGTGTGGGTGAAGACGGTGGGCGGGTGTTGCAGGTGTGGGCGGAGAGTGTGGGCGGGTGTTGCAGGTGTGGGTGAAGACGGTGGGCGGGTGTTGCAGGTGTGGGTGAAGACGGTGGGCGGGTGTTGCAGGTGTGGGCGGAGAGTGTGGGCGGGCGCCCGGGGTGGCAGGTAGTATATAAGCCAGGCAGCGAGGGCAGGGGGCCTCACACACTCACAGGACGCTGCTGGTGGACGACACACACCTGCTGCTGCACCTCAACACGACCCCCGGCCCACACAGGCAAGTCCTTACCCATTCTTCACCCAACCATCTGCCAAACGTCACATATGGAGCGGTTTAGGGCAGTCAAATTCGTACGATTTTACACAACTGAAGTCGAAGACACATCGAAGTCGCCTAGCACTGCGAAGTCGATTTTCGTTAGCACGCTGAAGAGTAAATTTTGTAAGACTTTTTATTGCTTTAAAACAACAGATTTTTGACACTGTGATTGAAGTCTTCCACACCCTCACTGTACTCCTCCACACACTGTACTCCTCCACACACTGTAGTCCTCCACACACTGTAGTCATCCACACACTGTAGTCCTCCACACACTGTAGTCCTCCACACACTGTAGTCCTCCACACACTGTAGTCCTCCACACACACACTGTAGTCCTCCACACACTGTAGTCCTCCACACACTGTAGTCCTCCACACACTGTAGTCCTCCACACACTGTAGTCCTCCACACACTGTAGTCCTCCACACACTGTAGTCCTCCACACACTGTAGTCCTCCACACACTGTAGTCCTCCACACACAGTGTCCTCTACACACACAGTGTCCTCCACACACAGTGTCCTCCACACACAGTGTCCTCCACACACACACTGTCCTCCACACACACAGTCCTCCACACACAGTGTCCTCCACACACACAGTGTCCTCCACACACAGTGTCCTCCACACACACAGTGTCCTCCACACACAGTGTCCTCCACACACAGTGTCCTCCACACACTGTAGTCCTCCACACACTGTAGTCCTCCACACACTGTAGTCCTCCACACACTGTAGTCCTCCACACACTGTAGTCCTCCACACACTGTAGTCCTCCACACACTGTAGTCCTCCACACACTGTAGTCCTCCACACACTGTAGTCCTCCACACACTGTAGTCCTCCACACACTGTAGTCCTCCACACACACACTGTAGTCCTCCACACACACACTGTAGTCCTCCACACACTGTAGTCCTCCACACACACACTGTAGTCCTCCACACACACACTGTAGTCCTCCACACACTGTAGTCCTCCACACACTGTAGTCCTCCACACACTGTAGTCCTCCACACACTGTAGTCATCCACACACTGTAGTCCTCCACACACTGTAGTCCTCCACACACACACTGTAGTCCTCCACACACTGTAGTCCTCTCACACACACACACTGTAGTCCTCCACACACTGTAGTCCTCCACACACTGTAGTCCTCCACACACTGTAGTCCTCCACACACACACTGTAGTCCTCCACACACTGTAGTCCTCCACACACTGTAGTCACTGTAGTCCTCCACACACTGTAGTCATCCACACACTGTAGTCCTCCACACACTGTAGTCCTCCACACACACACTGTAGTCCTCCACACACTGTAGTCCTCCACACACTGCAGTCATCCACACACTGTAGTCCTCCACACACACACTGTAGTCCTCCACACACTGTAGTCCTCCACACACTGTAGTCCTCCACACACTGTAGTCCTCCACACACTGTAGTGATCCACACACTGTAGTCCTCCACACACACTGTAGTCCTCCACACACTGTAGTCCTCCACACACACACTGTAGTCCTCCACACACTGTAGTCCTCCACACACTGTAGTCCTCCACACACTGTAGTCCTCCACACACTGTAGTCCTCCACACACTTTAGTCCTCCACACGCACACTGTAGTCCTCCACACACACACACTGTAGTCCTCCACACACTGTAGTCCTCCACACACTGTAGTCCTCCACACACTGTAGTCCTCCACACACTGTAGTCCTCCACACACTGTAGTCCTCCACACACTGTAGTCCTCCACACACTGTAGTCCTCCACACACACACTGTAGTCCTCCACACACACACTGTAGTCCTCCACACACTGTAGTCTCCACACACACACTGTAGTCCTCCACACACACACTGAAGTCCTCCACACACTGTAGTCCTCCACACACTGTAGTCATCCACACACTGTAGTCCTCCACACACTGTAGTCATCCACACACTGTAGTCCTCCACACACTGTAGTCCTCCACACACACACTGTAGTCCTCCACACACTGTAGTCCTCCACACACACACTGTAGTCCTCCACACACTGTAGTCCTCCACACACTGTAGTCCTCCACACACTGTAGTCCTCCACACACACACTGTAGTCCTCCACACACTGTAGTCCTCCACACACTGTAGTCATCCACACACTGTAGTCCTCCACACACTGTAGTCATCCACACACTGTAGTCCTCCACACACTGTAGTCCTCCACACACACACTGCAGTCCTCCACACACTGTAGTCCTCCACACACTGTAGTCCTCCACACACTGTAGTCCTCCACACACTGTAATCCTCCACAAACTGTAGTCCTCCACACACACACTGTAGTCCTCCACACACTGTAGTCCTCCACACACTGTAGTCCTCCACACACACACTGTAGTCCTCCACACACACACTGTAGTCATCCACACACTGTAGTCCTCCACACACTGTAGTCCTCCACACACACACTGTAGTCCTCCACACACTGTAGTCCTCCACACACACACACTGTAGTCCTCCACACACTGTAGTCCTCCACACACTGTAGTCCTCCACACACTGTAGTCCTCCACACACTCACTGTAGTCCTCCACACACTCACTGTAGTCCTCCACACACTGTAGTCCTTCACACACTGTAGTCCTCCACACACTGTAGTCATCCACACACTGTAGTCCTCCACACACTGTAGTCCTCCACACACACACACTGTAGTCCTCCACACACACTGTAGTCCTCCACACACTGTAGTCCTCCACACACTCACTGTAGTCCTCCACACACTGTAGTCCTCCACACACTGTAGTCCTCCACACACTGTAGTCCTCCACATACTGTAGTCCTCCACACACTCACTGTAGTCCTCCACACACACACACTGTATTCCTCCACACACACACTGTAGTCCTCCACACACTGTAGTCCTCCATACACTCACTGTAGTCCTCCACACACACACACTGTATTCCTCCACACACTGTAGTCCTCCACACACTGTAGTCCTCCATACACACACTGTAGTCCTCCACACACACACACTGTATTCCTCCACACACACACTGTAGTCCTCCACACACTCATTAACTGTTTATTAATTGTAAACAAAGCCGCCAAAGTTTGAGAAGATGTACAGGTTCGTAAGTGCTTGCGTAAGTGCTTTCATGAATCTGGCCCCAGGTTGATGGACATAACAAATTATGTCCAGCATCAACATCAATTCTCAGTTTAGTCTGAGTACCATATATATATATATATATATATATATATATATATATATATATATATACATATATATATATATATATATATATATATATATATATATATATATATATATATGTATATATGTATATATATATATATATATATATATATGTATATATATATATGTGTGTATATATATATTATTATTTTTTTACATATTACAATTTAACTTTCAGTTGTTATTATGGTTGGTGCGGTAAGGACTGAGAGAGAGAAGGTGAGGTGTGGTCACACTTGGAACACTCACACTCAATAAGCTCACTATCACCTCCTGGAAATCTATAAATGTGAATATATATTTGCTTTACTTTACTCCAAGTTTACAGGAGCAATAACATGCTCAACATGTACACAAATACTGAAACATTGTGTTCAAACTTCATGCTTTGTAGTCTTCTGATCTTGCTGTAATCTTCTATCTATATATAGATAAAATGTTTGTTTGTCTGTCCAAGGTTGTATGCCAGACGCTTGTGGCTAGCCTCACCCAACTTTGCAGGGTGAATGAGCTGGGGTACGGGACAAACATAGGCTGGTCGGCGTTGGTCCTATTGGTCCTAATAAGAGGGAGTCTGGGCCCAATAGTGACCTCCTTCACCACCATAATTGATGAAAGCTCGCTGGTCGCGTCCCTAAATTTCTTTACTAGAATTTTTGTATTTAATTTATTTGATTTATTTAGGTATGCAGCTACCCTAGACTATATGAAAGGGGGTATATAGTGTGACAAGAGTTAGGGACGTGGTGCACAAAGTCATCCCAGTAACGTGACGATAAACAGTCCCCATCACAGAGGACGGTTAGTCACACAGAATCGACTTGAGAATGGTGCAGGACGGACCGAAACGTCGTCGTCCCTTCACCTTCTAGTGTGTGGTCTGGTCAACACAGTCATGTGATCAGTAGTCTGCACTGGCAAACTCTGCATGCATTATGAGGATATCCTCAAGAACACGAGAGTGAATAAAGTAACAATAATACTGAAAGTGCCCATCTCGCAGGACATTTAGTCATACAAGGGTGTGTGACTAGTCCTTCATATATCTTAGGAGCTGCTGTAACCTCGCGCATTTCGGTCAGAGCGAAGGAGACCCCGGCGTCTGCATCAGGAAAGGAAGGTTAGGTTAGGTTACAGTAGATCGAGTTCCTATTACTGGTCTTCCCGGGCATTTAGGAGACCAGGGGCCAGATTCACAAAAGCACTTACGCAAGCATTTACGAACCTGTACATCTTTTCTCAATCTTTGGCGGCTTTGTTTCCAATTATTAAACAGTTAATGAGCTCCGAAGCACCAGGAGGCTGTTTATAACAATAACAACAGTTGAATGGGAGGTTTTCATGCTTGTAAACTGTTTAATAAATGTAACCAAAGCCGTCAAAGATTGAATAAAGATGTACATGTTCATAAGTGCTTGCGTAAGTGCTGTCATGAATCTGGCCCCTGGTCGACGACCGGGCCGCTTGGACGCTAAGCCCCGGAAGCACCTCAAGGTAACCTTCCCATTTCTACCGAGGGAATTGTTGGGTGGGCCGGGAAGCGTGCCCTTACCAGCATATCCTGCATGGAAGCTCCCCTCTTCCAGACTGTCAGAGGAGGCAGGGAGGCAGGAAGGGTCTGAATGGAAATATTGCCACACCGGGTGCTCCCTGACGAAGCCCTCCAGCCACGCTAACAGTTACGTCCTCCCTGTAGATGCTTGATGCTGTAAGAATGTACGTTGTAGGGAGCACCGTCCTGGAGACGGGGAGTCCGCAGTCGTCCGCTCCTCAGACACTCAGCCTCGAAGTGTTTTTCCCGTAGCTTGCTGTAGAGTCCTCTCTGGGTCGCCCTTCTCCCCGAAGAGCGACCATAGCGTATCCAGTGACCTCGCTCTCCACACTTGTTACCCGCTTCACTCGGATGCCTAAGGAATAGAGGGGAGAGATCTCTTTAATAAGGACGTTGGAAGACAGGAATTAGGTTATGAAAGATAAGAATGTAAGTTAGATTCCTCGTAGAACACATTAGTTTGGGGTCTCCTTTTTCTGTCCAGGTATACACAGGTGTCGAGTAAGGTTAGCTTCTTAAGGCTAGAGTCACCCAATTCTGTGTGGACACCGGTAGCCCCATGTTTGAACCCTCTTGACCTCTACCTTGACGTCTATGAGCGGGGCTGGGGTATACCTCCTGCGTGAAGTACAACTTCTTCAAGTACAACTCTCACACTCGCCCCAATCACTGTTCCTTTAATGTGGCGGTCAGCCTTATGTGTCAACACACAGGAGCGTGACGTCTAGGAGCCAGGAACCAAGAGCTAGAGGCAGGGACCAAGAGGCAGGAGGCGTGCCTCTGAGAGAGGACGGGGGGGGGGGGGAATATATGCATAAATCCACAGAGACAAAAGGACACATTCACTATTCTCAACATCACCTTCACCATCACCTTCATTACTGTTAACACATTCACGTCTCGTCATAGCCATGATTTCCCCAGTGACTCGCCTGCTCTCGCATACGTGATCAAGATAGTGATGATGATGATGATGATGAATGATAGCGTCGATGATGAAGCTGATGGTGCTAGAAACCAGTTAGCCACCCAAGACGTTCTCATCAACACGCCTAAGTTTCAGCACCACCCCACAAGACTGCCCCGCACCACCAGGGTGTAAATTAACCGGCCCGTCCTGATAAACCTTTCAAAACGGTTAATTCTTTCCTAACCTAACAGACTAAGCCATAGGACCCAAGGCTTCAGAACTATGCAACAAGGCTCTAAAGTTTTGCAACAAGACTCCAAAGCTATGCAACAAGGCTCCAAAGCTTTGCAACAAGACTCCAAAGCTATGCAACAAGGCTCCAAAGCTTTGCAACAAGACTCCAAAGCTATGCAACAAGACTCCAAAGCTTTGCAACAAGGCTCCAAAGCTTTGCAACGAGGCTCCAAAGCTATGGAACAAGGCACCAAAGCTTTGCAACAAGACTCCAAAGCTATGCAACAAGACTCCAAAGCTATGCAACAAGGCTCCAAAGCTTTACAACAAGGCTCCAAAGCTTTACAACAAGGCTCCAAAGCTATGCAACAAGACTCCAAAGCTATGCAACAAGACTCCAAAGCTATGCAACAAGGCTCCAAAGCTATGCAACAAGGCTCCAAAGCTATGCAACAAGACTCCAAAGCTATGCAACAAGGCTCCAAAGCTATGCAACAAGGCTCCAAAGCTTTGCAACAAGGCTCCAAAGCTTTGCAACAAGGCTCCAAAGCTTTACAACAAGGCTCCAAAGCTTTACAACAAGGCTCCAAAGCTTTACAACAAGGCTCCAAAGCTTTTCAACAAGGCTCCAAAGCTATGCAACAAGACTCCAAAGCTATGCAACAAGGCTCCAAAGCTTTACAACAAGGCTCCAAAGCTTTACAACAAGGCTCCAAAGCTTTACAACAAGGCTCCAAAGCTTTGCTACAAGACTCCAAAGCTATGCAACAAGGCTCCAAAGCTTTGCAACAAGGCTCCAAAGCTTTGCAACGCGGCTCCAAAACTTTACAACAAGGCTCCAAAGCTTTGCTACAAGACTCCAAAGCTATGCAACGCGGCTCCAAAGCTTTGCAACGCGGCTCCAAAGCTTTACAACAAGGCTCCAAAGCTTTGCAACGCGGCTCCAAAGCTTTACAACAAGGCTCCAAAGCTTTGCAACGCGGCTCCAAAGCTTTACAACAAGGCTCCAAAGCTTTGCTACAAGACTCCAAAGCTATGCAAAGCGGCTCCAAAGCTTTGCAACGCGGCTCCAAAGCTTTGCAACGCGGCTCCAAAGCTATGCAACAAGGCTCGGCAAGAAGGATCGTCCCTGAGCTAAGAGGATCGAAATATGAAGAAAGACGGAGGGAGCTGGACCTACTCTGCAGGAAAGAAAGATTATGGCAGACATGATAATAACATACAATATTCTAAGTGCAACTAGCCAAGTAGACAGTGTTGCAACCGAGCAACATCAGACCTGACAGACGTAAACCTCAACTTGCGTCACAAACAACTGCAAATTTGCGTCACAAATTAACTGCATTGAAGTATTTATTGAACGTTTAAAAAAAGAGCATAAACTGGAGTGTGGCAGTACATGTAGGTGAACACAGGTAGGTGAGTACCCACAACACTTGGACCCACCCGCTACATTTAGTAATGAAAAAACTCCAAAAAAAAAAACTCAAAACACATTTCTCGTTGCAATTTTTTTTCCCGCGTAATTTTTCCCATCTTCAAAATTTCAATGAGAATTGTACGGCGCTGGAAGTGGAGACAACTGGCGCCGGGAGCCTTGTGTACTGGTAAGTAATTATACCGCCTCCGTACACTCCTACTCCCTACTCGAACACCTTTCACACTACACCGGGGGATTCATTAGGCGCACTTACGCCAACCACTTACGAAACCTGTACATCTTTCCTCAATCATGGCGACTTTGTTGACAATAAACACTTTACGATATTCGGGCTTTCGCACACCCCCTGAATATTGTTGATAATAGCCTAGTGCTTCGGTCCTCGAAAATGTAAACAAAGCCGCTGCGATTCAACCTCAAAAATGTAAACAAAGTCGCTGCGATTCAACCTCAAAAACGTAAACAAAGTCGCTGCGATTCAACCTCAAAAATGTAAACAAAGTCGCTGCGATTCGACCTCAAAAATGTAAACAAAGCCGCTGCGATTCAACTTCAAAAACGTAAACAAAGCCGCTGCGATTCAACTTCAAAAACGTAAACAAAGCCGCTGCGATTCAACCTCAAAAACGTCAACAAAGTCGCTGCGATTCAACTTCAAAAACGTAAACAAAGCCGCTGCGATTCAACTTCAAAAACGTCAACAAAGCCGCTGCGAGTCAACTTCAAAAACGTAAACAAAGGCGCTGCGATTTAGGGGAGATTTTCAGGCTTCGTAACTCATTCACAAGCTTAAAAAGCTTGTGAGTGTCCGTTGGTTGTTTACAACTATCCATAAATGGCGTTACAAAATGTGAGTGACTGATATTGGTGTAACAAAATTCCTTGTTACCTCATTTTGTATATTCTTGTATTTCCTGTTTTCTAGTATGCATCGCTGTATTTTGGAACGTGTAGTTATACATCTGGTAGATCATCTACATCTCCCACACACCAGTAGATCATCTACACCTCAACACCAGTAGATTACCTACACCATACATTTCCACTTACGAAACCTGTACATCTTCCCTCGGTCATGGTGGCTTAGTTAGCATTTATTAAAACAGCCTATGAGCTGAATTATTCGAGATTGTTTACAACAATACTAATCCCGTTGGATTGTGAAGTCTCCAAGCCTGTAAACTGTTTGATAAATACACACTAAGCGGCCATGATTGAGATGCCAGACTATTGATGGTACTTGTTAAGACACTAGTGCTCTCTAGGGTGGGATATTGTTACGCGCTAACAGCACTATTCAGAGCTGGAGAAGTGTTGCACCAGATTCACGAAGCAGTTACGCAAGCACTTACGAACCTGGGGGCCAGATTCACGAAGCAGTTACGCAACCACTTACGAACCTGTACATCTTTTCTCAATCTTTGGCGGCTTTGTTTACAATTATTAAACAGTTAATGAGCTCCGAAGCACCAGGAGGCTGTTTATAACAATAACAACAGTTGACTGGGAAGTTTTCATGCTTGTAAACTGTTTAACAAATGTAACCAAAGCCGTCAAAGATTGAGGAAAGATGTACACGTTCGTAAGTGCTTGCGTAACTGCTTCGTGAATCTGGCCCCTGGGAGAGCGTGCAGAGATCTTTTCCCGCCCGAATCCATTCAATAAACCATATATTTATTCAATAAATATATGGTTTATTTTTATAAACCATTCAATAAACCAATTATATACGTTTTTGGGAACGTATATAATTTCTGGAACTGTATTCTTTAGAGTGCAGTACCGTATAATAGTTACATACAGTGCTATAATCAGACCTTGTCACCTTATCAAAACCTGTAAACCAGTACACCATAAATGTAAACAGTCTACTTTACAGAACATTAAGGTCAGGTTCCTGAAGCCACTCAGTACCTGTAACCTTCGTGATAAGCTGAAGCAAAACTATATAGACTAGTGTTGAAGAGTTAGGCAATATCACTGTAACTCATCAGTGTTGTATTTTGATGAGCTAATTTGGGGGGGTTTAGTTGCTGAGCTCATTATGTGTCCCTGTAGCCTGTTCCACTGACGCCCACGGGATGGGTTTGGGGTCCGCTTCTGCTCATACGATAGATATGGGGTCTACTACCACTCAGAATAGGTATTGAATCCCCTACCATTCACAAGATGAGTACTGGGTTCACTACCACTCGCAGGATGAGTATTGGCTTCACTACCACTCACAGGATGAGTATTGGCTTCACTACCACTCGCAGGATGAGTATTGGCTTCACTACCACTCACAGGATGAGTATTGGGTTCACTACCACTCACAGGATGAGTATTGGCTTCACTACCACTCACAGGATGAGTATTGGGTCCACTACCACTCACAGGATAAGTATTGGGTCCACTACCACTCACAGGATGAGTATAGGGTCCATTACCACTCACAGGATGAGTATTGGGTCCATTACCACTCACAAGATGAGTATTGGGTCCATTACCATTCACAGGATGAGTATTGGGTCCATTACCACTCACAGGATGAGTATTGGGTCCACTACAATTCACAGGATGAGTATTGGGTCCACTACCACTCACAGGAGGAGTATTGAGTCCACTACCACTCACAAGATGAGTATTGGGTCCACTACAACTCACAGGATGAGTATTGGGTCCACTACCACTCACAAGATAAGTATTGGGTCCACTACCACTCACAGGATGAGTATTGGGTCCATTACCACTCACAGGATGAGTATTGGGTCCACTACAATTCACAGGATGAGTATTGGGGTCCACTACCACTCACAGGATAAGTATTGGGTCCACTACCACTCACAGGATGAGTATTGGGTCCACTACAATTCACAGGATGAGTATTGGGGTCCACTACCACTCACAGGATAAGTATTGGGTCCACTACCACTCACAGGATGAGTATTGGGTCCATTACCACTCACAGGATGAGTATTGGGTCCACTACAATTCACAGGATGAGTATTGGGTCCACTACCACTCATAGGATGAGTTATTGGGTCCACTACCACTCACAGGATGAGTATTGGGTCCACTACAATTCACAGGATGAGTATTGGGTCAACTGCCACTCACAGGATGAGTATTGGGTCCACTACCACTCACAGGATGAGTATTGGGTCCACTACAATTCACAGGATGAGTATTGGGTCCACTACCACTCACAGGATAAGTATTGGGTCCACTACCACTCACAGGATGAGTATTGGGTCCATTACCACTCACAGGATGAGTATTGGGTCCACTACAATTCACAGGATGAGTACTGGGTCCACTACCACTCACAGGATGAGTTATTGGGTCCACTACCACTCACAGGATGAGTATTGGGTCCACTGCCACTCACAGGATGAGTATTGGGTCCACTACCACTCACAGGATGAGTATTGGGTCCACTACCACTCACAGGATGAGTATTGGGTCCACTACCACTCACAGGATGAGTATAGGGGCCACTACCACTCACAGGATGAGTATTGGGTCCACTACCTAGGCTTCCTGTCTCCGACAAAAACTGATAATAATTGATGTAGAGAAAAACAGACGGCGTCTTATCATTAACTAATATGAATCATTTATCAGATAACAAATAATATTTCTCAAAACACATTAATTAATTGGCTGTTATGCTCCAGTTGCCAGATTACGAATAATGGCCGTGTAACTCGCGTTCAGTAATTGGCTATCATGCTTCACCTTTCAGATGACCAATAATTACAAGTCTTGAATAGCGAGAAGCAGCGTAGCATACTTGCGAGAGATAATTGCTTGTCTGCGCGCCGCTGCCCGCCAATATCCTCCTCAGAACAGCCGCCGTTCTCAAACAAATGATATTAAAATTCCATTTGAATACTAGTTGGCAGCTAGCGCGCGCGAAGATCGTCCCCGTGATGGTGTTTGTGTCGTTATACTCACGGTGACGTCCACATCAAAAGTCAAGCTTGGGGACATTGAGGGCTATATTTATGTACACACACAAGGCTGGCATTATATCTAATGGATAAAGAGAGGCCATAAATACATTTCTCTTCCTACACACGAAAGAGAAAATCTAGCTGGAATAGAAATAACTTTAGATATTACCATTCTCAAGTCGACACAATCGACTTGAGAATGGTGATATCTAAAGCTATTTCTATTCCAGCTAAGAAACTCAAGTCGACTCAATCGACTTGAGAATGTTAATATCTAAAGCTATTTCTATTCCAGCTAGATTCTCAAGTCGACACATCGACTTGAGAATCGTCCAGGATGGACCGAAACGTCGTCGTCCCTTCACTTTCTAGTGTGTGGTTTGGTCAACATATTTCAGCCACGTTATTGTGACTTCGTCTGCATTTAGATATTATTGTCTTGGAGAACGGGTCGCTATGTTTAGGGATGGGAGGGAAGTAGCTAGACAAAGCGTTAAGCTATTACGCCTATGTATCACCAGAGAAGGATCAAGATAAGGATGTGGGATGGAACGGAGTGGAAGAAATGGTAGGACAAGGATCTCTAACGTAAATGACGCGAAAAACACTTACCACTATATATTTACATATACCATCACCACACATCACAAACTGAAGAAACGTTGACATTTTGGTCCATCCTGGGCTATTATCAAGTCGTATATGTAACTTACATATACAATGGTTAGCATTGATGCCAAATGAAATTGCTCCTGATTTTGAGATTTACGAGATTACTGTTCAAGATGGAAAACCACGCAGTTTTTATATTTTATTAATATAAAATAGTTGGTGGGGAAGGGGGGGGTTATAGGGTTTTTATATAGCTTCAGGGCACCGGTTTCCCCCCAACCATTAGGTATGGGAAAGGAGGAATTGTATATGTTTATCTCTCAGAATGTTCGGTAATATGTTTATTGTTTGTGATGTGTGTGTCTATACACTTTGTACTGAACGGGGTGAGAATAGCTTGAGCTACCTCATCCCTTTGTGTGTATTTTACCTCAATAAACTTATTTCAATTTCAATTTCAACCACTAGGCATGGGTAGAGGTAGGTGGCCCTAACAACACGAACTAAAACATGTAAAATAATGGTTAGAAGGCAATCTCAGCAATTAGACTTAAGAGCTGAACTAGAAACTACCAAGACAAATTGTCTAGTAACTCTATTTACTCAGAAATTTGCAGAAAATGTGATTCTGAAATAAGGAAATCCTATTCCTGAAATTCTGCCTTAAAAATCTTCCAGTTATTTTTAGCGATGACCTTTCTCAAGTCATCATATAATTAAAAATTTAATAAAACTAAAACTCCATACAAAGTTCTCAAAGCAAGCATATAAAGTGTGACATGAAAGATGCCAGGGTTCCTGTAGCAGCAAAAGTTTTACCGTAAGTAAAATACACTGATTTTCCTCTAATAATATTTTTCATGTATTGTATTCTCCATTGGTCAAGATGGGGATTTGTGTAGACGATTATCGAGGCACTCGTTCTTAATAAGGTTCCCCCACCCTTGGTCTAGGAAGTCTGTTCCCGTGAATACACGAGCCCCTGTAGATGATAACAGGAAGGGTATTACGCAACTATGGATGAGGCTATAAGGAGAGTTATTATCCAAATACGGATAAGATTATAAGGGGGAGTTATTATCCAACTAATGACTCCTTTAAGGAGAGTTATTATCCAAATACGGATAAGATTATAAGAGGAAGTTATTATCCAACTAATGACTCTTTTAATGAGAATTATCCAACCCTGAGGATAAAACCGACCTACATTCATGCACATATTTCTTCTTTAAAAGTTAAACTCAGCTGTCAAGTGTCTTATTCCACTACATATAATGGCCGACTGAATGATAACTTTCCCCGTATAATGTTGATAGGATTACATGTGATGAAGGAACAATACCGCGTGATTGTAGCACATCACAACGGTAGTCGAGCTGTATAACATCAACGTTAGAATCATGGTTGCAGCCATGATTCTAACGAACAATTCATGAACAAACATGAACAATTCATGAACAAACCTATTGTTCACACATGACGCCGCATCCGTATGTACATACCTCGCATGGTGTTGGTGATGTAAGGAAGCCATAATATATGGTTTCTTTCTCGAGAGCACAAAAATCAAAATCAAAATTTGCTTGAATTACGATTAACGATGTCAGAGTGTATGGTGGACACACTTACAGTGAGAATGGAGACACAATTGACTTGAGAATGGTGGACCGAAACATCGTCGTCCCTTCACTTTCTTGTGTGTGGTCTGGTCAACATATTTCAACCACGTTATTGTGACTCCTCGTCTGCACTTATAGGGAGAATATAATCGTCTTCAGATTAAGATACGGTGCAGCAATATTTGGATACGAGAATATTTGAACTTTCAGCCAGACTCTTAAGTTTCTTCTGGCCGATAGGCTCTTAAGTTTTTTTTATAATTAATTAACTGTCTATATCGGGCCTAACCTAGAGTAAATTAATCTGTTCTAACCTTACCTAGATTAAGCTAGCCTGGTTTAACCTAATCTAGTTTACCCTAGCCTAGTCTAACCTAACTTAACCTAGTCTTAACCTAAACTTTTCTTGTAAGAGCCCAAACTTGTAAAGGTTTTCATTTGCCTTTCGCATACATGAAGAATTATTTTGTCTCTATTGAATGACTTTCTGTTCGTTATATTATGTATTGATTCATTCTAGAATGTTTTAGTTTTTATCTCTATCTCCTTAATTTCTCTTGTCAGTTTTGTGTTCTTTTAGGAGACATTTGTCTTTGTTTAACTATGTCTGTAGCCTGGGGCCAGATTCACGAAGCAGTTACGCAAGTACTTACGAACGTGTACATCTTTCTTCAATCTTTAATGCCTTTGGTTACATTTATTAAACAGTTTACAAGCATGAAAACTTGCCAATCAACTTTTGGTATTGTTATAAACAGCCTCCTGGTGCTTCGGAGCTCATTAACTGTTTAATAATTGTAAACAAAGCAGCCAAAGATTGAGAAAAGATGTACAGGTTCGTAAGAATTTGCGTAACTTCTTCGTGAATCTAGCCCCTTATCTCCCGTTGCCCAGATGGACATAATTTATACAAATTTAGCATGCATTGTGTTGACATTTGAAGGGGTCAGTATTGTTTAAAATTTAATTCATTAAATGCCTTTTCCCGCTATACATGTGTTCAGGACACGTTATAGCAGAATATATATGTTTCGACCTGAATGAGGTTGGGATCGGAATATACATATTGTATTATATATATTAGTATACCTCGCATTAGTTGTTCATTATACGTGATAATCATTAGGTCAAGAGCGGTAGCAACCCTTTTTACCCTTTATTGTGTGCTGGTTCATCTTCACATTTTTCACTTTGATTTCTTAAATTGACTGGTGTTGGGTAAGATTTTGTCTGGTGGTGATGAGTAAGATCTAGCTTGGTGAGGTAATGAGTAAAGCCTAGTCATGTGGGGTGTTGAATAAGATCTAGCTTGGTGAGGTGATGAGTAAAGCCTAGTCTGGTGGAGTGTTGAGTAAGATCTAGCTTGGTGAGGTGATGAGTAAAGCCTAGTCTGGTGGAGTGTTGAGGAGGACACTGTCTGAGGGGGGGGGGATGAGTAAGATATTATCAGGTCTGATGAGCTGATGAGTATGACCTTGTCTAGTGGGTGCTGAGGAAGACCTCCCCAACCTATCAACAACCCTTCCTCTTGAATAGTACACCGAATTTTGACGTATACAGTATATCCTCCAACATCAAAATCTGACGTACAACAAATCATTGTGTCTGGCCAAATTGATGCCATGTCCCGTTTTCTATTTGTGCGTCCTTGGTTAGGTTAGGTTCGGACAATTTAGTACATCATTTTTGTGACGTTGTAACAACTCGAGAGGTCGAGCTGGTCTGGGGAGGGGGGAGGGGTTGGAGGGAGAGAATTATCAGGAGAGCGCCAAGCCATTACGACTATATAGCACTGGGAAGGGGTCAGGATAAGGATTTGGGACGGGACGAGGGGAAAGGAATGGTGCCCAACCACTTGGTGGATGGTCTCGGGGGATTGAACGCTGACCTGAATGAAGCGAGACCGTCGCTCTACCGTCCAGCCCAAGTGGAAGGCCTAGGGGTCAATGAGACGATGCCTATTAAGTCTTGGAGCTCAGAGGGAGAAAGACAAACATATGAGCATCAAACGACTGTATATATAAAGTTTATAATACTAAGAGACAGTGTTGAGCCGTCACGTGTAAGCCCGCGCTAATTTATCACACGCTCCCGTAATTATTTAGGTGTCCGCCGCTGGCCTCGCTCTGCAAAAAAATATCCACTTAACTGCTAAGAAGGAATAAAAGACGATCGGGACCTCCTCCCCCCGGAGGAAAAAACAAAAAAAGGATCGCAGCTTCCCCGAGGGTGAAACAAAGGAGGATCGGAGCTCCTTCTAGCGAGGAAACAAAGGAAGATCGTGGCCCCTCTAGCGTGGATATAAGGGAAGGTGGCGGCGCCTTACTCAAGACAATAACCAGCTTGGAGAGTATGCTGTCGGTAGGGATCTTCGCTAATCTCAGGAGAATTTTTGTT